TCCCAACAATTAGCTCAAAATTTGTATATATTCTAGAGGATAAGTACTCGTGAAGGAAGTATGGTCAAAAATTATTGAAGGGCTCACTGTACCAGGGTTATTACAAGCACAGTGAAGAAATGACTTGCAAGAAAGCATGTGAAGAGGTCTATAGATGATCCGTCAATGACGTTGATCATGACTTATAAATGGGAGCACATGCATACGCAAGATGCAATGCGGGGGAATGCAACTGTACAAGTGATGGTCAATTTGTCATGTCAAGACAACTTGAGTGAAGAAAAGGAGAAAAAAATGAAGTTCTAGGTAGTTGGAGGGAGATTGATGAAGGAAAAATAAGAACGTGAATAGCTAGAGGTCGGATTTCCTTGTAAAAATTGATTTTAATAAGTTGCCATAATTGGTGGAATAGAAAAAACTTTAGTTTTTTATGATATTTTAATTTAATGGACCGTTCTTTAAAAAAGCCATTTCATTATCATTATTTGATCGTAAATGAATGGCATTTTATTAATGTACACACATACCTATATTTGAAGAGTTGCACACACAATGCACGACACACAACATACAGCCAGACCTATAATGAGTTTTTACTTTCGAAAAGACTAGTAGAAAAAAGGCTGGTGTAGTGTCTTTAAATAAGATAATCCCACCAAAAAGCAATATGGAAGATCTAATTGGGGGTAAAAAGAGAAGGCCATGAAAACAAATAAAATTGCCAAAAAAGAATAAAGATGGAAATCAATCATTCTTCAATGATTAGCCATTGATGCTTGATGATAAGTGTAGTTTCTACACTTATTCGAAACCCTAAATCATGATATTTTATTGTCTTTTGAATATAAATCTACCTAATTTATATTATATTATATTTTGTAGGTAAAATTTTATGTTTAATGAAGAATTGGAGAAAAGAATGTAAAAGTTGCGAAAAATGATAAAATTCAAAGATAAAACTTTGGAGAGAAATATATATTCAATGGGTTCGAGAGCTCTTATTGTCTACATGATCCAAGTCCCCGATGATATTTTTAGTTTAGGAAAAGTCTAGCATTCTACTTTCATTATCTTCTTTGGTGATTAGGGAGGTGCAATCACCTAAATTTGACAAGTATGAACATTTCGTGCATCAATTGAAAGGTTTGTTGACGTATTGTTGATTATAACCTTAAAATTTTGATTATAACAAACAAGTTAATCTTGTTTATTAACAATTAAATTTAAAGTGATTATAGTCTTTAAAGTATCAAATGATAAATTGATCGATCGTCATCAAAGGATCTTAAAAGATAAACGTCAAAAAAATATCAAAATCAAGAGTTTAAGAGACAAACGTCAATGAAAGATCAAGATGAGAACCTGAGAGCCAAACTTCGAAAATGTTTTGATCTTTAAGAATGATAAAATCTCAAAAATTATTTTGTATACTAAAAAATATTTTGATTATCATTTACATAAAATGTTTTAATCAAAAGTAAAATTGATTTTCAAAGTAATATTTGAACTTAAATCATATTTTTAAAACATCATTTACCTTGAACACTAGTTTAAAAAAACCCTCAAAGAGTTTACATTTGTCAAAATATTCAAATCAGATCAAACGGGGTCAAAAATGAGAAAATCGATCGAACTTTCAGTCTAAGCATATGGACGCCCAGATGGTCGTCCGTTGGTTGTCCAGATCCTAGGAATGTTTTGCAAAATCTTCATCTATAAGTTCGTAAAAGCAAACGTCCGATTAATGCGAGGCCTTTGGGTCGTTCGGATCCAAATGTGGACGTTCGGTTAGTTGTCCGATTTCACAGAGTATTTTATTTTTTGAGCTCTATAAATACCATTACTCCTTCCATTCTTCAAAAAAAACATCTAAGAGTGTCAAAGTAAGATATATTTTGAGAAAATTCTTTGAGATTGTCTTTGCATTCGTTTCATTTATTTCTTCTTATAAAACACTTTGATTGATTCAAACTCTTTAAGCAGCATCCTCATCAAAGTTTTTCATCTATCTTTTAGTATTTAAATTATTCCTATTATTCATAAAAGAGAGATATATTTCAAAGAAGATTTTTAAACTTACATTACATATATTTCTTCTACTTTTAATTGATTGAATCAAACTTGTAAAAACTTCATATTCATCAAAATTTATCATTTCTCTCTTATTACTTAATTTATTACAATCATTCATTAAAAGAGAAATATATATTGAGAAAATTTTTTAACTTATATTGCATTTATTTATTTTTCATCTGTTCATTGAAAATCTTTAATTAATTGAATTAAATTTGTCATTATCGTATTCATCAAAGTTTTTCATCTAACACTTAGACTATCATTTATTACTATTCATTGAAGTGTTAACATTTCTTAGAACTTAATTCATTTGTATTATTTATTAAGAGAGAGTTTTTATTGTAAAATCGTTTACTCTAAACTTGTGAGTCGTATTAAGGTCTCGTAAAAGCTCAGTAGTATAAGAACCGATGCTCTTTGTTGTAAGTCACAATGTAGGTCATATTGAGGTCTCGTAAAATTCAATATTATATAAGAATCGGTACCCCTTGTTTGTAAGTAGCCAAAAATGTTGTACAGTATTGGATTGCACTACACGTCAATTAATATAGTGAAAAATTCCTTACTCATGTCGGAGAGCTTGGTAATGGAGGACGTTGATCATTGTTTTGGATTGAACATCCACAATTTTATCGTTTGCATTATCTCTCCCTTTTACTTATCACTATCACATTTTCGCTTATTATTTGAATTAATCTATTTAGTTATACTTGCTTGAATTTAGATTAATTTTTCGAAAAAATTTTAAAAATCAATTCACATCCTTTTGGTTAGTTATTGTTGGGCTTTCAATTGGTATCAGAATAAGGTACTCACTTTGAATCTAAAGATTTCACAATCTTGAATAATGGCTAACCACAATTTTTGGATGATTTTAACCATACTACAATTTAGATATTTCAATAATACTTTATTTTTTGTTTTTAATATATAACAAATATTACAAAATCATTGTCGTGTATAAATTTCGTGTTATTAATTCTCAATTAATTAATATTCACATTAATCTATATTTAATGAATCTTGACTTGATGCATGTAGTATAAAAAGATTGATCATTTCTAGTATTTCATAATCAATAAAAATTTGAATAATAAAAATTTAGTTTTGAAAGTACAATTTTCTTTTCTTAAATTCGTTTGAAACTCTTAAATTTGTCTTAACAAATCAGTATCAAATATTACTTTTATATCACTTATAAAATATTTCAGAAAAACGTGCAAATCATGTTTAGCTTTGACGAGTAATATCAAATTCTCCCATATAATTAAAATCTAAATATTAATTTAAGTTAAAATAAAACATTAATTTAAACATATATTTTATAAATTCACAAATTTTCAGTTATTAGTTTTTATAAACAATTAAAATTTGATTTTAATGCTGAGGCGGATATTCGACGCGTACCATTTTTGCCCTAAACAGGGGCTCTATATTCGATGCCCAGGAGTATAATTTTGCCCTAGAACACGTACCCGCCGGCGGCTCTTGATCTCGAGTACATCCGTGGAGCATTAAGAATCCACTTCAGGTTACTGGCATTCACACTTCTCGAATTACGGTTCTCATCTCAGTTGTTATCTAATGGTTATTCAATTAGATCCGTATTTTCCTAATAGCTGCTTGTCTGTGCAAACTGTTATTCTAGTTGTGTTTTTCTGGTAACCCTGTATTTATTCAAAATCTGACTTTAGTGTTTTACGACTTCAAAGCGCTGTGTTCGTGTATAGGATTGTGTGTAGGATCCGTGTTTTATTCCCGTATTATTCCTTTTTACTACTGAGGTCATGGTTTGCTTATTTAAGACGTTTTCTAATATCGTAGTGTTGGATTTTCTCTCGATTTTATTATTTAAGCTATTAAATCGGAAATATCTGGGATATGGGAATGATACTATTATCTTTGGACCGTTTCGATAACTCATAATGTATTTATGCGTCAGTGTTAGTTCGTTGTCTATTAGATTTGCCTGATTGGATTTCTGGCTACCTACAAAATTTATACTGTTATTTTTCAATAGACAACAGAAAAGATGGAGAATTATTTTACAAGATATCATGTATAATGTATTTATGCGCCAGTGTAATAAATGTTGTTGTTTGAGAGGATGATATGAGGAAATCATATAAATTGATTGCTGATATGATAGCAATTTATCATGTATTAGCTCTATCTGATCATTCTCTTATCACATGTTGTTTTGGGTTCAATAATTTTGAGTTGGCTGTTTTTTTCTTCCTAACTTGTCATGCCTTTTCATTAGACAAAAAGAAAATATAATTTCTTTTACAAGATATCGCATATTTATGTTGCATTGGGCTTAGTAAATTATGATGTTGGGTTTCAGAGGATGAAATGAGGAACATCATATACATTGATTGCTGATATGATGGCAATTAGTATGTATTAGCTCTATCTGATCATTCTCTTTTTACATGTATTTGAGGTCCAATAAGATTGAGTTGGCTTTTTTTTTTCTTTCTTTTTTTTCCTTGTCTATTGCTATTTTCAATATCCCTTTATTACATTTTGGTTCAGCATTGCAAATATGATTTGTGCTCTTACCTTCAATTCAAAGATAAAAGCCTGTTGTTACTTTACTTGTAAATGGTCTTTGTGATCATAATTCCTTGCTGTAATAATTAATTTTTTATTTAAGCCACATCTCTGTTTCTTGGGATTCATAATTTTTTTTTTCTTTTGGTATTTTATTGCTATCATTTTTTTTCCCTAACTCTTCTATTTTTGATTGCATATAATGGTCAGGATCCACATAATTCTGTGTAAAATGAGGGGAAGAACTTATAGTCCATCACCACCAAGAGGTTATGGTAGAAGAGGAAGGAGCCCCAGCCCAAGAGGACGTCATGGTGGTCATGGTAGAGGAGATGGTCCAACTAGTTTTTTAGATCGCAACCTTTGTCATGACTAACGGTAAATTTTCTTCTTCCCTTTTATTACTTGCTGTAGGTATTTAATGCCATTAAAATATCTGCTTTGTTAATTTAAATTGTATATTTATTAACTCTTGAAAGTAGCTGTGAGGCCATGAATGCACTTTCAGACTCGGGATTTCTATAAACCTCTTTTGAAGGACCCTATGGCCATCATTTCTCGTTCTCCGGGTTATCCTTCTCTTTTCTGGAACCTGTGTTTACAAATATGAAAGCTAACAAAAACTTCTAGGTCTGACGCTTTAACCGGGTTTATATCATTTTGCATTCTCTGAGAGCTGCATCTGTTTTTAAACAGTGTGTATGATTTATTTGCTCCTTATCTGAAAATTATGCAATTATGAGCGACTTGTTACTTGTTAGAAATTGGTGATTAACTTCACTGTATATAGCGCTGACTATGTAGCCTTCGTGCTGTTTCATTTTTAAAATTACTTGTTCGTACATTTATCTTATCTTTTTAATTTAAAGATGCTCACTTCTTACTATACATTTTCTGTTTGCTTTATAGCTAAAAATTAGTTGTGGAAATTTAGTCTTCTTGATTCTTCTCTTTAAATTGGGTGTATAATCAGTTGTAAATTGAGTTCCTTAATTGATGACTATCCTTTTCTTCATTCTGATTATTAGTTGCTGCAGAGATAGTGTTTATGACCGGAGGCGGTCTCCTCCTTATTCTCAATCTCCAGCTTCACGCTACAGAAGATCCACATCTCATAGCTGTGATTACTATTCGCTTCCTCCTAGAAGAAGATACTGTAGGTATAATATAATTTCTCTTTACTGTTCATCCCTTTTATTATTTATTTGATATGGCATTCGAGTTATAAAAATGTTCATCGAAATGTATGAACTCTTATCACTCTTTTTCTTTTGGAGTTAATATGTTACCTCCTAATGAGTTTGGCAGGTCTATTTCCCCAGGGGAGAGAAGATACTGTAGAGAAAGGTCATTCTCACATTCACCAGTAAGGGAACGTTCTCGACCCTATAATGGTTTGAGGAGCTGCAATGGCTACAGAAGCCACAGCCAAAGTCCTGGTAGGGCCCATTCTCCAGTGAGGACTCGAAGCAGGAATCGGAGCCTAAGCCATAACAGAAGTAGGAGCCCTTATCTTGTACATTACTCGAGAGAACCTGGTAAAGATGGGTCTTCTAGCTCGTGAGTTCAGTTGGGAAAACGTATTTCTAGTGCTATTGCCATCCTACCTGACATGTTGGAAGTAGTTAAATTTCACAGCTGTTGTAACATTGAAATTTATTTGAGAAATTGGTTAATGTTTGGATAATTTGTAGGATAACATTTGGAATTGGTTTGTCAATTTCCTTACATCGTGTTCACTGTCTATTTTACCTGCACAAGTGGAGGCTAACTTACACATAACCCGCAAATTTCTTTTATCCTCTTATTTTTGCCCTTTCATACACTTATAATTTTGCAGGCAAAGGCGCAAGGCGTGGAAGTTTAGTTTCATGTTTTATTTGTAGGAAGAGAAAAGTTATAATCGAAAGTAGCCATGGTAAAATTAGCCATGGTAAAATGTGATCGGACATGGTTGGGATTCGCAGCGGAATGAAATCGGAGATGGAGGGGGGAATGCAACCGGAGCATTCGTTTCTTTTTCTTCTTCTTAATCAAAGGAAAAATAATTTTAGTTATTTCTTTTCTTTTCTTTTCTTTGTAATTGTGTAAAGATATGTTTTATGTAAGATAATTAAGAGTACAGTATTTCGAAGGAGAAGAAAAGGCGTAAGTTACGTTCACTTCCCATCCAATGAAACGTATGTTCCTTTCCTACGATTTTTCAACCTATAATCTGTTTATATTTATTTTCATTTATTTTTTTTTTTTTGTGTTCTTTAAGTTATTAGCATTCTATTTATTATTAGCATTCTATTTATTTGTTTTTCTCCAACTATTGTAAACTAAAGTTAATATACTTATGCTAAAAATATAATCTTTAAATCCACAATCCCAAATTCATGGTGAAAGAATGCTCAAACTTTTCCCTAAGGAATAAAATATAGGACATGTTATTAAATGATGCAACTAACAAATTTGCGATTTAACCTTGTTTGACAACCATTTTTTGAGAAAAACAGAGTTTTAAATAGTAATTTTTAGAAGAATGTACAATTAAAAAATGGAGAAAAGTTTTTGATTTACATGCAGAATATTTTATTGTGTGCATATGTGTTAAAAATGAGTATATAGAAGAAAAAAGTTCGAAAATAATAATTGTTAAATTTGGGCTTAATCGAAAAGTTGGAATTTTCATTATAAGAAATGGGAATTTTAGGCCCGTAGATGGAAGATATCACGACGTCAATAAAATTGAATTGTTTCATTAAACTTTAGAAAGATGAGTATGCCCTTGTCTGATCTCTATCTTTTTCAAAATATATTTTTTTTCTCATTTCTTTTCAACAATACATTTTTTAATAAAATAATATTACAAGCAAATTAAAAAATTTTCTTTATTTTTTATCTACACATTCTCCATCAATTTATTATTTCAAAATACATTATACACAAAAAATGGGGCTCAAACATGCCATATATTATCTTATCAAAAATAGTTTAATTGATAATTGAACCGAATTTTGACGTCGTAATAGTGATACCTCACTATAATTTTAAAATGTCAAAGTCTTTGTTTCAAATGTTGAGAGTAATATTAGAATCTCACATTACTTGAAAAAATATAAATGATCCACTTAATAAGGTTAGTGCAATCCTCCCCTAATAAATAGGTTTTATTAGGTGGAGTTATGCTCAATATTCCTAACATGGTATCAGAATTAGGCCCAATTATGCAATGTTGGGTGCCACCCAATATCGATTTATTCACAGTTGTTTGGCATGGTCCACGCTCTGCGTGAGGGGGCGTATTAGAATCTCACATTGTTTGGGAAAATATAAATGATCCACTTAATAAGGTGAGGCCAATCCTCCCCTAATAAGTCGGTTTTATTAGGTGGAGTTAATCCCAATATTCCTAACAAGTAATCTATGCAGAATGATCGATTTCATTTTATTTTTTTGATAATTGTAATATTGCTATACAGAATTATTATTTTTGAGATGTCACATTTTACTGGGGACAACCTTATGGAGACCGAAAATCCATTCTCAAACCGGGCCACCTCAAAGGTATGATTGTACTTGTAATAACCAAACAACCAGCACAACAAAACAAAAGAAACATGGTAGACAACTGTGGGAAAGATTGTCATAAAAAGTCTCATTTAATAAAAGCAGTTCCCATTTCCTCTTTCCTTGAAACTCTTGAAAATAAACCAAGAAAGCCTTTGTAATATTTCGTGCCATCCAAAAAAGAAAAAAAAAAATTGGAAAATTGCAACAGTAGTTTCTAACCTTTTAATTTTTTTGTAGACTTTACACTAACTTTCAATTTGTGCTAACGAAGCTCCTTAATCTTTTAAAAATATGCTACAAGAATCTAAATAGATGAAAATCATCAATTTGATCGTTGACCGAGAAAAGTGAATTTTGACTAATCGCAATCCACCCACTGACCAGCATCACCACTGACTAGTCTCCCCCTTACCGACACAACCTCCCCTCCACCACAACCACCATCAAATACTACACCTAAGCCTTAACACTACCACCATAGAATCCACACACCAAAGCTGTCAAAAAAATCGCCGTCACCTAACTACCATCTTGATACCTATTTACACCACCATAATTATTATGCCCCATCTCACCACCACCTACCAACACTACAGAAACTCGTGAAAATAGAAACCAATTTCACAAAAATTGGTGGTCTAAGTGAAGAAAAAAATGAGATGTCTAAAAAGTGCATAGATTGTTTGTCCCAAATTTGTTGAAATACCATCAGATTGGATGCTTGGATTGTGAGAGTGGATGATGATAGTCCACGACAGTGGGTGTGATCGGAGGAGGGGTTGTTTACAATTTTGGAGTAAGCGAGTTGGGGGGTTTTGGGTGGTTATTTCGGCGACATCTGGTGGAGTTTAGGATTGTGGTTAGGTGGAATGTGTAGAGGAGAATGAGGGCTTTCTGGTGATTTGTGGGTCTGGCAATTTAGGCAATGGTGTTGGCAGGGAAGATGTTGTGCCGATGGTGGAACAGTTTTTGAGTTCGGTTTTAGGATTGAGGGTAGGGGAATTTACTGTTTTAACCTTTTAAAATTGGTCAAAATTCTATCAATCTTTTGACTATTGGTCAACTAACGATTTTCTATCCATTTGGAACTGCATAGTTTTTAAAGGTTAGAGACATTCGTTGACACAAATTAAAGGTTAGAATAAAGTCAAATAAAATTGAAAATGTTAGGAATTGTTGCTGCACTTCTTCCAAAAAATAATCCAAATGCTTCAAAATAATAAATGTATGGTGAGATTTTTGGAAAATAATGTATTTAGGAATAGTAATTTTTGTAGATATAAAAGAAGAATTTTTTATTTAAGTAATATTATTTAATTAAAAAATATGTAATTGAAAAGAAGGAAAAAAAATGTATTAAAATTTTAATGGAGACGGAGACCTGGCAGGGTTATTGGGTCCTTCCTCTTCTTCTTTGATTTTTTTTATTTTTTATCTTTTCTTTTCTTTTCTTCTTTTAAATAATTCAGAAAAAAGAAAAAACTGAGCTTTTTAAACTGCCGAGTGTCCGACAAGCCCGAGATTTGCAAGAAGCTGCTATCATCTATCACACTGCATCAGGTTTCCTCGACTTGTTTCAAAATGTTGTACGTGTGTTTATGTAAGGGGAGTGGTGGGGTACGGTTGTTTTACTAATGAAGATAATTAATTACTATTACTGAGGAGCTGATTTGGGGTATTATTATTCTAGAATGCTGTGCCGTTCCAGTTTCCTCTTGAGCAAAGACTGTAGCGTAAGTATGAGCTTGTTGGGTTCTTGTCTCTCAACTCACTGTTCACTTCAAATGATTTTTTTTTTTTTTTTAACTTTCTTAGTAGAATCTTGAAGGCAGATTTCTGGATTTAATCTTCGGTGAAAATCAGGCTTTATCAGGTACACTTCACTTTTTCTCTTTGTTTTTGTTTTTGTTTTATTGCTTCTTTGTTTGTGGGCGTTGTTAAAAATTGGTTTTGAAATGTGGTTTCTGGATTGAGGCTATAGTTAAAGTGAACTTTTTGTAACTTGTTTATATGTAGCTTTTCGGATTTTTCGAGGTTCAGCAGTGACAAATTGAGATCTCCTAAAAGCAAATTTAAGCTTACTCAAACATCCGGTATCCACGATGTATAAGTAGGACACATCTAACATTTCCATTTGGTTTTGCACACAAGTATTGAATTCTTGGAATTGAAATGATGTGAAACGGAATGAACCTCCTTATTTTAACAAAATTTAGCTCCCTTATTGCCTCGCGAATTGTTTGCTCTGCGTCTTCTATTCATTACATCCTTAACTTATTGTGATTGGTAGAACTTTCCCATTGGGCTGATGGTGACGGTAAAGTTTTCTGGTTTTGTCGTTAAGTAACTGGTTATACCATCTTGCTGAACCAAACTATATTTCCTAGTACTTCGTCAAATTTTAGAAAAAGGCCAATGAATTGGACAACTTTTGACCAAAGAAAGGAGACAGACGTGTATTTGACCAAAGAATAAGGTGTTCAGAGTGATGTTTTGGTGCAGAAAAAAGAGTTGAAGAAGACGGATAAAGAAGAAAGAGAAGAGACAAGAAGATAAAAGAACTGGAAGGGGAAATTTCAATCTGCTAAATTCTCAATCATCAAGAACACTTCTCTTATTTAGTTTTAGAAACTCTTTTAAAAATGGAAAGAAAATTTACTATGGGAAGGAAATATTGACTTGCAACATTTTTAGCTGACATGAACAGTGTATATTATTTAATTGATTGTTCTCACATAGAATTAGCTAGCTGAACAATAGACCATTTAATGTGTTTAATGCTCTTACTTTTGGGCATTCTAGGTTGCTCTTCTCCAGATATTTTATGTTTATCCATATAACATTATACTGTTTCTCACAATCTTACCTTAGGTTAGAGATTTTCATGGCCTACGTACTTGGTGGGAATTCCTAGTTTCTGGTCAGTTTTAATATATTACTTAATTATATGTGTAACGGTAAGGTTCCACAAGTACAAACCAATATTTTCTCTTTATGCCACTTTTTTGTCATTCTCGATGTTCTTTTTCATTTTGTGTGCTTGTGAGACTTCATAACCTGGTTCCTTATTTATCGATATACTGATGTGGATACGTAGTGTACCCAAATACATGATTCTTATGGTAGATGTAGGAAATTTACTACTGGGAAATGCATCATGAAGTCCTTGACAAACCTGTTGTACTCCAATGATAATGCTAGGAAAGAAATTTGGTGGAGTTTCGGAGTTCGCTAGCCAACCACTGTTTATAGGTGTAGAATGAGTCACGCGGAAGGTTGTTATCCCCTCTTTCCCAGCATAATTTTATATTGGTGGAGCATGTTCTGA